TCAGTCCTTCCAATGAACAGTTAGGACTGATCTCCTTTAGGATGGACTGGCTGGATCTCTTTGCAGTCCAAGGGACTCTCAAGAGTCTTCTCAACACCACAGTTCAAAAGCATCAATTCTTAGGTGTTCAGCTTTCTTCACAGTCCAACTCTCACATCCATACATAACCACTGGAAAAACCATAGCCTTGACTAGACAGACCTTTGTTGGCAAAGTAATGTCTCTGCTTTTTGATATGCTATCTAGGTTGCTCATAACTTTCCTTCCAAGGAGTAAGCGTCTTTTAATTTTATGGCTGCAATCACCATCTACAGTGATTTTGGAGCCCAGAAAAATAAAGTCTGACACTGTTTCCACTGTTTCCCCATCTATTTGCCATGAAGTGATGGGACTGGATGCCATGATCTTAGTTTTCTGAATGTTGAGCTTTAAGCCAACTTTTTGACTCTCCTCTTTCACTTTCATAAAGAGGCTCTTTAGTTCCTCTTCACTTTCTGCCATAAGGGTGGTGTCGTCTGGATATCTGAGGTTATTGATATTTATCCCGGCTATCTTCATTCCAGCTTGTGCTTCTTCCAGCCCAGCATTTCTCATGATGTACTCTGCATATAAGTTAAATAAGCAGGGTGAAAATATACAGCCTTGACATACTCCTTTCCCGATTTGGAACCAGTCTGTTGTTCCATGTCTAGTTCTAACTGTTGCTTCCTGACCTGCATACAGGTTTCTCAAGAGGCAGGTCGGGTGGTCTGGTATGCCCATCTCTTTCAGAATTTTCCACAGTTTATTGTGATCCACACAGTTGGAGGCTTTGGCATAGTCAATAAGCAGAAATAGATGTTTTTCTGGAACTCTCTTGCTTTTTTGATGATCCAGCGGATGTTGTCAATTTGATCTCTGGTTTCTCTGCCTTTACTAAAACCAGCTTGAACATCTGGAATTTCACCGTTCACGTATTGCTGAAGCCTGGCTTGGAGAATTTTAAGCATTACTTTATTAGCATGTGAGATGAGTGCTATTGTGTGGTAGTTTGAACATTCTTTGGGATTGCCTTTCTTTCATATTGGAATGAAAACTGACCTTTTCCAGTCCTGTGGCCACTGCTGAGTTTTCCAAATTTACTGGCATATTGAGTGCAGCACTTTCACAGCATCATCTTTCAGGATTTGAAATAGCTCAACTGGAATTCCATCACCTCCACTAGCTTTGTAGCGATGCTTTCTAAAGCCCACTTGACTTCTCATTCCAGGATGTCTGACTCTAGGTGAGTGATCACACCGTCATGATTATCTGGGTAATCAAGATCTTTTTTGTACAGTTCTTCTGCGTATTCTTGCCACCTCTTCTTAATATCTTCTGTTTCTGTTAGGTCCTTATCATTTCTGTCCTTTAGCGAACCCATCTTTGCATGAAATGTTCCCTTGGTATATCTAATTTTCTTGAAGAAATCTCTAGTCTTTCCCATTCTGTTGTTTTCCTCTATTTGCATTGATCACTGAGGAAGGCTTGCTTATCTCTCCTTGCTATTCTTTGGAACTCTGCATTCAAATGGGAATATCTTTCCTTTTCTCCTTTGGTTTTTGCTTCTATTCTTTTCACAGCTACTTGTAAGTCCTCCTCAGACAGCCATTTTGCTTTTTTGCATTTCTTTTCCATGGGGATGGTCTTGATCCCTGTCTCCTGTACAATGTCACAAACCTCCCTCTATAGTTCATCAGGCACTGTCTATCAGATCTAGTCTCTTAAATCTATTTCTCACTTCCACTGTATAATCATAAGGGATTTGACTTAGGTCATACCTGAATGGTGTAGTGGTTTTCCCTACTTTCTTCAATTTAAGTCTGAATTTGGCAATAAGGAGTTCATGATCTGAGCCACAGTCAGCTCCTGGCCTTGTTTTTTCTGACTGTATAGAGCTTCTCCATCTTTGGCTGCAAAAATTATAATCAATCTGATTTCGGTATTGACCATCTGGTGATGTCCATGTGTAGAGTCTTCTCTTGTGTTGTTGGAAGAGGGTGTTTGCTATGACCAGTGCATTCTCTTGGCAATACTCTATTAGTCTTTGCCCTGTTTCATTCAGTACTCCAAGGCCAAATTTGCCTGTTACTCCAGGTGTTTCTTGACTTCCTATTTTTGACTGAGAGTCCCCTATAATGAAAAGGACATCTTTTTACTCAGGACTTTATGATTGACTGATTTGATCTACTTGCAGTCCAAGGGACTCTCAAGAGTCTTCTCCAACATCACAATTCAAAAACATCAATTCTTTGGCACTCAGTTTTCTTTATAGTCCAACTCTCACAACCATACATGACTACTCTAAAAACCATAGCTTTGACTAGGTAGATCTTTGCTGGCAAAGTAATGTCTCTGCTTTTTAATATGCTGTCTCGGTTGGTCATAACTTTCCTTCCAAGGAGTAAGTGTCTTTGAATTTCATGGCTGCAGTCACCATCTGCAGTAGTTTTGGAGCCCCCAAATATAAAGTCTCTCACTGTTTCCATTGTTTCCCCATCTATTTCCCATGAAGTGATGGGACTGGATGCCATGATCTTAGTTTTCTGAATGTTGAGTTTTAAGACACTTTTTCACTCTCCTCTTTCACTTTCATCAGGAGGCTCTTTAGTTCTTCTTTGTTTTCTGCCATAAGGGTGGTGTCATCTGCATATCTGAGGTTGTTGATATTTCTCCCGGCAATATGAGCTATACCAATCTAGAGATTCAACCTATGCCGACATTTAAAAAAAGGATATCTGCATATCTGAGGTTGTTGATATTTCTCCCGGCAATATGAGCTATACCAATCTAGAGATTCAACCTATGCCGACATTTAAAAAAAGGATATAAAATCATTTTTCTTGAGCTTTATGGACCTGAAAATTTTATTTATAAAAAAATTTGTATAACAAATTCAAATTTGTAATATACAAACTCAAAGTATGTTGTACAATGTTTGAAATTGGCTTAAAATGTCAGAGGAAAGCCTCTTATTTTGTAATAACATATACATACATGTGTTTATATACTTTATATAGGGGATATGACTTAAGAATGTAGCCATGTTACATACTACAAAACATATATATACTTTGATGTCAACATGAATATTTCATGTACATATTTGTATAATCATTTTTGCTTGTAGGAACTTATTTGTATAGTAATGGAATTTTTGGAATCAATACAATGCTACACTATTTTATGCACTAAAGTATTTAACATGTTTTGCATATTACACATGGGCTGCACATGCTAAATACTTTAGTGCAGAAAACAGTGTAACATTATAACATTTACATCAATTCTAGTAATTCCATGACTATACAATAATTTCCTCCAAGCAAAATTGATTATACAAATATGTACATGAAACACTCATGCTGACACCAAACTATATGGATGTTTTGTAATATGTAACATGGCTATCTTTTTTATGTTATATCTCCTATATAAAGCTGATCTAAATCTAGCAAGCATGCCAGTTGTTCTTTGACTATTTGTCTAAATGATCTTACATAATTTGGAAAATTTAGCTGACTATGAAGCAAAACTACTTTTTGATAAGGACAGACATCTGTCCCTGAATTCATACAAAGGAAACAGCAAAATGGTATCAAGATATAATCTATGGGTGAAATGTCAGATAAGTAATCAATAAAACTTCCAATAAAGAGATATGGGAAAGTATGTCCAAAATCAAATGCTAAAGTATCTAGTAATATTCTAGGTGAAATTCGATGAAGAAAACCAGTTAAAAGGATAACATAAAGAATCCTTCAACTGCAGGGAAAGAAAGGAGAAAAGCTATTAGTAAGTTTAAGTTTCAATATGTGGAATTGAAAAGACAAGAAATATATTTACTCTTAATTACTGAAATTGAGAATAATACAAGCCATTAGAAAGGTGAATTTGTCCCAAAAAATGAACCAAATTGTCTGTAAAAAAACTTTTTAATGAAGCAAAACAGGGGAAAGTGACAGTCGCATTAGAGAAAATGAAATGCCTCTTTTCTAATGAAAAAAAAAAGGGCACAAGAAAATCCATGGAGATCATATAAGTAAGGAGGTTATTTTACTTAAATTTATGGTTAAAACTAAGTGTCCATTTTTGTCCCTTTGTCCATTACTCTCAGTAAAATCCTTACTCACCAATCAGCAGAAGCATACTGTACAAAGCTTTCCATTAAAAAGGTGACATTCATCTTGTTATAATATTTTTATGTTGCTCAACAAAATATATCACAAAAATAAAGCACTGCAGCAAAAATAAATGTAAAGTTTTTAATAATTAAGAGACCCTCCTGTTTGTGATATAGAAATTGGATGAATTTAGTTGTATTCATTGTTTCTAAAAAGACAAGCATTTTAGTTGCTAAGTTACCTCATATGAATGAAAACCATTATGTAGGTTGTAAATTAAATTATATTTCTTTCTGATATAACTAGGTTTGAATAGTAATAGAATTTATCATTACTCTTATCAAAGACTCTTCATAAAAGGTCTGAAATAAAGGAGTTGGGCCTTTTTGCCTAATCATGAATACCAACCATGGCTGATTTCTACATCATCATGGCTATCTGGAAGGTAATAACAGCCCTCCTTCTCTTTCCCCTTGCCCCACAGCTTTCTACATAATTGGTCAGAATGGAAAAAAATCTCACATTTAAAAAAGGTTATTAGCCCATAGTAAATTTGTATTTAAGAGAAGAATACAAATAGATTCTTTCTCCCATCCATTTTCTTCTTACTCAAAATACACACATCTCACTCATCATCACAACTATTCATTTGTTGAACAAATTGATTCTGAGAGTGAGCAAAAAGCACCGAAACATTAAGTTAGCATAGAGACGCCCACAAGGAATAGTGCTTATGGCTTCAAAATGAGAACGTACATTCATCTTACTTCATACATACTAACTTCACCTTGCTCAAGATAAATTCAACCACTATCATGAATGTGAGCATAGGAGTGAGTCAACCATTAATTTACTTACAGCAAGTTGCCGGGTCCTCATCACTCTCATCAGAACAGTCCTGCCAAGAGTCACAGACCAATTCTCGAGCAATGCACTGGCCGCTGGCACAGGTGAATTCTTCTGCAGAGCAAAGTTGTCTGGACGGGGCCTGGGCACAGGCGTAGACCCACAGGTCATCAAGCCCAATAAAACCTTTGTGGCTCAAAATAGTCCCTTCAAAAATAACCTTCAGGGAAGCACAGAGAACAATTTGTGACCTTAAAAATCTCTTCCAAAAGGCTCCAGAAATAATACTAGAGATTCAAGAATTATTAAGAAAAATGACTTTTTAAAGATAAAGTAAATACAATTAAGAAGCAAATACAACTAAGAATAAAGCTCCCATTTGATAAGCTTGACTCACACACATCAGATTGATGGGCACATTCGAGCCACTGAGGTGTCTAAGAAACCACCCGTGATCTGATGATCTGATCTGAAAAATCACCCGTGATCATGATCCCCTTAATCACCAACAATGTCCCTGACTGCAAACTTACTTGGTCATCATTTTCACAGCCCACTGACTTTAATATTCAAGGAAAAGAATAAGTGTTGTTGCTATTTATATAACAAGAGTTATAGATGCACGTGGTTTTTTAACTATTGAAATTAGTTACTAGGTAGGAAGTGAAGTGTCAGGTAGATAAAAAGGGATACAATAGAATAGGAAAACATTTAAAAGAATAGATTTTAAAATCTATTAATCCTTATAAAAGAATTTCTCTAACAATCAAAGAAGTACTAATTAAAGGAAATGAACTCATTTTCTGTAACTGAATTGTAGGCTTTCTAAAGGTATAAGATACCAGCAAGTTGAAACAACCATACGTTGCTATTCTAATGTAAGATGATGTGGAAGTATTAATATCCCTTCAGGTTTTAATGAGAGCAATTATTAGATAACACCAAGAGAGCAAAAGAAATCAAAAACTGTATAGCAGATGCCTTATTCTCTGCCATCCAATATGGTAGTCACTAGCTACCTAGCGCTATATCAATTTACATGAACTAAAATTAAGTTAAAAGTCAGTTCCACATTTTAATAGTTACATTTCAAGAATTCAGTAACTACATATGGCTACTGACTACCACACTGGAGAACACAGATAAAATTGCCATGAACACAGAAAGTTCTGTTGATCAGCACTGAACTAAATATTGGGTTTGGTTTGGTTTTCATGGAATACAGCAAAAGTATTTCTATTTTTTGAAGTATAGTTAATTTATAATATTGTGTTTCAGATGTCCAGCATAGTAATTCAGGGGGTATTTTTTTTGCATCGATATTGTTAATATGTAAATAAGATTCTAGGAACAAAGACTGACTTCTTTTAGTCTCTTCCAGCTTCAAGTGTCTGAGAAATTTTCTTTTCAAAAAGATGAGCAATATATATTTAAGAATTATTTAAGATCAAGTTTGCATAAATATTTAACAATTTATAAAATAATAAATTTAAATATTTCATAGTAAGAAAACTTTGCATCTTTTTCCATAATGACTATATGTTAAAATCATTGCACCTACAGCTGTGTATTTTCACAGTCTCAAGATATCAGATATACAGAAGTGATTTCAGTTTAGGTTTCCAAAATTTTGAGTTTCAATTTTGATCTCAAAAGTCTGCCATTAATGAAAAGCTAGTTACATTTAATATGCACTTGGAAATGGTAACTCCAAAATTATTTTCATTACATTTTTTATCTCTGAGTTAAGTACCAAAACAAACTTTAATATTTAGCTTATGAAAAAATAATAAAGGTCCAATCATTTAGTACTTCTTTCAGAAACTATAGAGGTAGATAGGAGCTTAGAAAAGTGAAAATAGTATCAAAATGTTTACTCAATGGGCTATGATATAAACCTCAACTTCTGAGATTGCTACAAAAATGCTGTGAATTGTAAGTTCCAAACTCAGCTGTAAATTGGATTTAAAAAATCTGCATAGTCACAGTTCATATCATTTGGGTCCTCCTTTTAATACCTAGAAAAATGTATGAGTGTGATATTACCTTAAAGGAATAAAATTGGTTTAATAAGCCACACATACAATCAGCCTCATTATTTTACACTTATACTCCAGTATAAATGTATTTATGTACTCTTTATATAACACAAAATGAATGGAACCTTAAAGTACTATACTTTAAAAATAAAAAATCTAAACAGCAATTACTAATACCAGAATTTCAATGTTGATCTGACATTACTACACATTGCAATATTGCCATGATATTAGAAAAGAAATGATAAACACTGAATGTGAAAGTTTTTAAATGTTACCAGATATTTTTATGCACAATCTCAACTCTATATACAACACAAAACCCCAAGTTAATAATTTTAAGAGATAGCATTCCCACTGAGCATATGTATATTTCAGATGCATCTTTGGACAGGTAGAGTTACCCATGCATTATAAAGATGTGAATTCCTGCATTCAAAATATTTGCATATACTCTCTTGATTTTTCAGTACTGGTTTATTGTTTATCTGCTTCAAATGCAACTGGCTTCCTTGATTGTACTGCACAGTGTTTGGGGATACTAGGGAAGGAGCCCATGGAAAATGAGGATGCTTTAAACAAGAGTAGTTAATATTCTCATCATTTCAAAATCTTTTGTTGAATACTGAATTATATAAAATTTGAATGTGTCAATCTTTTGTTTGTGAGTGACCTGTAGCTTCAGTATAAGAACTGTATTATTCTTTCCTAGATTTGATCAATACACTAACTCTGTTTAAAAAAAAAAAAATAGTAGTTACTTTCTTGCTTCTCCACTCAAGCAAATTTGACTTGAGTACAGGTAGGTACAATGAAAACAAGTAATTGCTCTCCCTAAACATATGAGTCTACATTGCTAATTTAAATGCTAATTTAAATTAATAACAAATGATAAATTAACTACAAGTCTAAAAATTAAACCTGTGATAAAAAATACTTGTTTTTCCCTTTTATACCTTAAATGTCTTCAGTTCTTCTGGTATTACCACATCCACTTTCACCCATTTTCTGTGAGTTGATGTGTTGTATATCCAAAATATTTCTTCTTCCTTTGATTCAAAGGAAAAAACATCACTCCATTCCCAAAATTTTACTCTCATATTTATATATGTTCCCTCTTAATTACATTTCAGTAGAGTTGATTGTACCTGTAGGATATTAAGTACTAAAAAACTGAAGTATTGTTTAAAATGGTATATTATATTTTGAGAGAAAAATAAAGAAATGGAGATAAGGAGGGATGAAAAGAGAGAGCACAGAGAATGTTTAAGGTAGTGAAAATACTCTTTATGATAATATAATAATGGATCCATGTCATTCATTATACATTTGTCCAAACCCACAGAATATGCAGCCCTAAACATGAACCCTAATGTAAATTAGAGACCTTAGGTGATAATGACATGTCAGTGTAGGTTCATCAATTGTAACATGTGTGCCATTCTAGTGGAAGATGATACTAATGGGGGAGACTATGAATATGTGGGAACAGGGAGTTTACGGGAAATCTCTGTACTTTCTTTTGATTTTGCTGTGACTCTAAAACCACTCTATAAAAATTATCTTTTAAAAAATAAGGAAATAAAGTGTATATACATAATAAAGCCGCCTATTTTTTATGATGGAGAATAAGTTTAGAAGAAAAATTTGAATGGAATCTTGAATAAATACTACACTTCAAAATATAAAATCCTATGTATCAATTAATAAACCAGCTATTTAAACATTGATCCCACTGACATTACTACATTTTGCAATATTGCCTTGATTAAAGAAAAGAAAAAATGCAGGCAAATATTTAACATGAAAGTTAAAAAATGTTATCAGATATATTTTCTGCACAATCTCAAATATTTTTTCCTATGGAAGAAGTCATTCCAAGTTCCAAATAATACAGTTCTTTTCTGGAGATTATACTTCTATTTTACTCTCCAGTCACTCAAAGACCTTTCCATGTCTTCTAAAGCATCCTATGTCAGGTGTCTGTATGATGGTCATTTTCCAGGTTGCAAAGTATACGCAAAACTATATTGCTATGTACTAGGAGGTCATATATTTGATAAAAGTGTGTAAAGTACTCCACAGTTTTGCCCATGGTGTTGGACTTTTATGATTTTGATTGTGCTTTCATTCTATGAAATAACTCTATTTTCCTTAGATTTAGTGATATATATAATCACTGTGGATGGTGACTGCGGCAAAGAAATCAGAAGACGATTGCTTCTGTCAAGAAAGCTATGACAAATCTAGACAACTTGTTGAAAAGCAGAGACATTACTCTGCCAACAAAGGTCCATATAGTCAAGGCTATGGCCTTCCCAGTGGTCCTGTATGGTTGTGAGAGGTGGACCATAAAGATGGCAGAATGCCAAAGAATTGATGTCTTCGAGTTGTGGTGCTAGAAAAAGAAAAGACTCCTGAGAGTCCGTTGGACAGCAAGAACATCAAACCAGTCAATCTTAAGGGAAATCAACCTGGAAGGACTGAAGCTGAAGCTGAAGCTCTGGTATTTTGGTCATCTGATGTGAACAGACAACTCATTGGAAAAGTCCCTGATGGTGGGAAAGATTGAGGGCAAAAGGAGAAGAGGGCATCAGAGGATGAGATGGCTGGATGGCATCACTGATGCAATGGACATGAACTTGGGCAAACTTCAGGAGATGGTGAGGCACAGGGGGGCCTGGAGTGCTGCAGTCCATGGGGTCACAGAGTCGGACATGACTGAGCAACTGAACAACTATATATATATAGATGTATAGTGAAATACAGTGAAAATGCAGACAGTGGCATAAATATCTCAGGTTAAACTCTGAGACCATCTCTGTGCCCTCCATCTGTGAGATAGGAAACAGCACTGGAAGATGACATCTAGTTGTGATCCAAATGACACATGACATTCATAATTTTCAGGCTCTTAAGAGCCTTTATCTCCTTACTTGGTTTCACTTATTTCATTCATATGCAAGATTTTCTAAATATGAATTTCTTTTTAGCTTTGTTCTTTGCCCTCTGTTATCTACTCCAATTTCCAGGTCTTAAATATTTCAGAGAAGATAGTCTAAACTCATTAAAATGTACTTCATTCTATTACTTATTTATATGAACAGTTAAGACTTCCACAAGACAATGAAACATACATGGCGGACACATATTTTCAGCTGATAGTTTCCAGATCACATCACAATGAAGTTATAAAGGGTTGAGAAACACAGCCAATTTTTCTCTCAGTAATTTCTTAAGCGACTTTAGCTATTTAGCACTGAGACACTATGTCCTCCGCTGATGCTTTTATTGACACTACCAGGCAAGCTCCATTTACCACGTCCCTTCACTTTCACTTTATGAGGGTAATGTACAGTTGTTTTGCTCTTTCTTCACAATGACTAATTGATTTGCCCCATTCTTCCTGAAGAAGAATGCATTTACATTTTGTTCAGGAGGCTGAGCGTAGTTCTTTCTAAACTTAACTTAGCATTTGAAAAACCATTTAATGGTATATTGTGTATGAAATCCAGACTTTTCTACCACATTTTCCTATCTGACAACACAAGTCATGCAAACGAAAAAAATTTACTCCAACTACATATCAGCTTTTATTTTATATTTGTCCATACTCTCAGACTTAGCTAGTTACTTTCAACAGGTATCAATGTAAAACACAAACCCGCAGGTCAGAAAAGCCTTTAAGTGATGTTCCAATTTTCTATTATCTTAAAATCAACCAATCAAAATTATATAAATGTCTTTACTCCCCTAGATCAACTTCCCAGGGGGCACAGTGGTAAAGAATATGCCTGCCAATGAAGGAGATGCAAGCAATGTGGGTTCCATCCCTGGGTCAGGAAGATCCTCTGGAGAAGAGAATGGCAACCCACTCCAATATTCTTGCCTGGGAAATGCCATGGACACAGGAGCCTGGCAGACTATAGTCCATGGGGTCACAAAGAGTCAGACACGGCTGAGTGAGCACACACCTAGGACTTAGCAACTGGACAAAAACAACAACAAAACTCCCCCAGACCAGGCTTAATAATGCCATTTTACCTCCCAAGAAAAATATTTATGATCAGATCTCTTAGAGCTCTCTGCTTCTTCTCCCCTCTTCCAGTGGGGAGGGGGGGGGAATCAGATATCAAGTTCAAGTTTGTTTTTTCTTAAACTACTTTCGATTGCATGTGGTCCATGTACTTTAGCAAAAGCTCTCCTTCAAGGAGAGCTTATTATAACTTTAAAACTTGTATCATCCAAGAAAAGATATTTTTCTAAGGCATTTTCTTTCCTTTCCCAACTACAATTTCCTCCTATTTATTTGCCAGTGGGAATTTTAAAAATATATAAAAGTCACCACAAGCTGGGAACCCTTACTATCCTTGGCTCACTGACATGGCAACTTTCCTGAGGATAAAAGATAGGCTGTTGCTATGATTATTATCTTATAGATGATGGGCAGAGACTTAATCCTAAGAACAGTTAGATGGTACATACACTGAAGCTGACTTTCAAAATTTCAACTTTTTATATAATAACTTTCCTTTTACCTATTTCTTATTTCTCAAGCTCTAAAGTACTCCAAAAATAAAATTGTGCTAAGCATTCTCCCTAGGTATTTCTTGGTTCACCTGCACACATTATCATAAGGGTTGTTTTTGTTATTCTATCCACAGATTATGTTAATGATCATTTTCATCAAGAGCTAATTTTTTAAGTGATAGGTTTGAAGTCCTTTTTAACTTTGTGACAAAACATCAAGTTGTAATTTAAATATACTGTGATGCAGATTTTACACTAGTAACCGATGTGTTACATGTAGCGAACACAGTGAATAGTGTCAGAAAAGACTGGTCAGGGCCTTGCAGAATACTGGGTGAGCTCACAGATCAAATATCAGTCAACACTGTCTAAGATGCCCCTCCAATTGGTTCTGATTAATACTCTGGATCAGTTCTCCATGGTTAACTTCTTTTTACAATGTGGGAGACAGAATCTTGATAAGTCTATTATTATTATATGACATAGTATCTGAAACCAATTTTTTTGCACTTTTTTCTTGTACAGTCCCAAAGCCAGAGGAATGATACTGCTCACTTCCAATAATTCATATCTCCATATACACATACTGAAACATAACCTACCACTGATTATTATTAAAATAATCCTTAGTAGTAGAAGATAACACAAATTTCTACTTAAACTTAGGATAATAACTCATTCAACATTTAATGAATATCAATTACCCACCCTGTGAAAAGCAGTATTGTAGCATCATACTTTTTAAAAAACATCTTTAACTATAAGCTCAACAAAATTTCAGAATTTTCTTTGTACTATGCCTTTGTTGAAGAAGGATTTGGAAATTACAGAAAGTTTCAAAGTACATGAAAGTTCACTGGACTTGGCTTACATGGCACAGCTGATAATAACTAAAAGATGCTTGAAGCTTGAATGCTACAACATATATAGATAAAGTTAAAACTATTTTTGTTTGTAAAATTTTTCCAATTATCTGAAAAGTTTGGAGCCCTACAGAAAGGGCAGGGAGATGTTTCAGCCCCTCCACCCACCTCATACCACTCCAAATTGAATGAAATATATCAAATAGATTCTAGGGCAGTGGACTGCCAAATACTACTGAAAAAAAATGTGATGAAAGTATAGTTACAAAGTGATACAAATTGTGTCTCATCCATGTAAAAAAGAAAAATGTATTAAGCCATCTAATGAGAGTATTCAGCTTCAGAAGTCTGTGAAGGTCCTGGAAAAGAGAAGTAGAAGAAAAAAAACTGGATATGATGAGAATAACACAAAAAGAAAAAGGGACAGGTGAAATGATAGAACTCGGGAGAAAAAGAATGCCTTTTCAAAATTCAAGTATCTTGGTAATACAAAGTCTGATCCTTGAGGATTAACTATGAAGTCACTTCACACTTCTAGAGTCTATTATACAAGATGAAGTACAGAAAGAGAAAGACAAATATCATATATTGATGTATATATTTATGGAATCTAGAAGGATGGTACTGATGAACCTATCTGCAGGGCAGCAATGGAGAGGCAGTCATAGAGAACAGATTGCGGGCACAGATGGAAGAAGAGGGTGGGCCACATGGAGGGAGTAGCCCTGAAACATATACATTATATGTGTAAAATTAGACAGCCAGTGGAAATTTGCTGTATAATACATGGAGCTCAAATCTGGTGCTCTGTGACAACCTAGAGGGGTGGGATGGAGTGGAGGGTGGGAGGGAGGTTTAAGAGAGAGAGGACATATGTACACCTATGGCAGACTCACACTGATGTATGGCAGAAACCAACACAATGTTGTAAAACAATTATTCTCCAACTAAAAATAACGAATTTTTAAAAAAGAACAAAAGAAAATGCTTCTGAAAGACGGTTAGTGTGGTAACCGTGGTTAGACTGGTAAGTACAAGTGACAAACTTTTGTTGAAGCATGAATCTGACTGATGTCACACAGAAGTTTCAACTCGATTAACCCAAAGCCATTTGAGCAAAAGGAAACTTGATGGGAGGCTTTTACTGTGCTTTTCCAATGTCAGAATTCCTGCAATTATTATCAAATGTCTCCCATTTCTACAGCAACTGCTATTTACCCCTATAATTTTTTATCCCTACCTGTAAATAAATTTTTCACAATAGAAATTCTCAGTGTCTCAAGTATTTTTTGCATGTGTAGAGAATTGTTTTCAGTTAAAGTTAGTTTTTTTTTACTCACTAGCATTACCACTACAACTTTCACTCTGCCCGATGCACTATTTTTTTTTCCACTTATATGATTCATTTGGCTAATTTAATCAGCAGTTACCAATCTTTTAAAACTGTATCTACTGTAACAGAACAAGTAATTTGCTTCCATCATATTTATAGCTTTAAGGATACAGAGATTAAAAGTCCAGAGCAGATCACATCAATACTTCAGTGTAGAGTTAATAATATAGAATCCCCAATACATTATGACACCATAGTTTCTTTTAACATATTTTCATGAATTTTAAAAATCTTATGAAGTTTTTACAAACTACCAACATGACTTTTGTACATGACAATATCTCTTAAAACAATTTCTTAGTACATTTTTTAAAGGTATACCAAATAAACAAGGTCCTATTGTATAGCACAGGAAACTACATTCAATATCTTTTACTAAACCATAATGGAAAAGAAAAACATAAACTCCCCCTCAGAGAAAAAAAGTATATCAAATAAAGGCAAGTTAAAGAATACCTTTAGTCTACACATAACTAAGAAATAGAAACAAAAATTGCCAAGAATAGAAATTTCATTTATTAATGAATTTGAAAGTAATACAAGTTTCTTCTCACCTTATCATTAGACAGTCCTACTCTGAGAACACTGTTTTCCATAGCATAATAGAATTGAAGATGGCAGCTCCTGCCCAGGCAGTGATACACAGAGCTATTCAGATAAGCCCTGCTGTCTAAATGGTTAAGAGTAGAAGCTTGCTTAGCCCCTACCCATAGACAGTAACCTGAAAAATAAAGGGGGGAAAGCACCTTAGAAAAAAAAGCCAGCTGCTTCTGTTTGAACAAAATTATCATGTTTCTGGAATTTTCAAAATCAAGTTTGAAGCACAAGTAAATTATTTAAAAGAATAGGATTTTTTTAAGTGACATCAACTACAAATTATAGATTTTTACTTCCATATTTTATTTTGTACTTTTTTTTTTTGATGTGGACCATTTTTAAAGTCTTTATTGAATTTGTTCCAATATTGTTTTCTGTTTTGGTTTTTTCAGCCATGAGACATATGGGATCTTAGCTGCCTCAGCCCCTGCATTGGAAGATAAAGTCTTAACCACTGGACCACCAGGGAAGTCCTGCCATATTTGATTTCTAAAATGCATTGTAATCTCATCCTAATTCCTGAAATCAAAGTTTTATACTATCCTCAGTATGAATGTTCTTATAAAAAGAAATCTATTGATATAAAAATCTCTGTGCCACCAAATGATCATTTAAATGTCACAATGCAATCTTTCTTTAATCAAAAATTACTCATCTTTCTTCCCAGAATTATTTTCACTTTTGATTATTTTTTCTATTCTTCACAGGAAAACCTTCATCATTTAAGGGAATGTAATTTAAACGGCCTCTTTCTGATCAAACTATGTTGAAGCACCAGATACTTACAATCCCACTAAATTACACAGATGGGTTTTGCAGTGCATAAAAATATTGTCGATCAATTTTTCCCATCTGATTCTTAAAACTAATTTGGATTTGTTTTAATTCAGTAATACATGTAATGCAGAAATACAAAGCTATTTCTACATTTTCATAACTTTAATTTTCAAAAATAAGGTCTTTCAAATGCTCTATTTCCTTTTAAGATAGCAAATATTCCTACAGCTTCACAAAAAACTATGAATTTAGTGAAGCTCTGATTGACTTTCATCAAAATAGTACAATAAATTAATACTTTTTGCCTCTGACCTATGCACAAGGAAATGATAAATGGCATAAAAATACATTTTTACAAGAGCAGAGACAGAATAAACCCAAGAGAAAACATCTCAAAAGATAAGGAAAAATAGATATGATGAACAGAGTGAAGAACAGAGCCAAAACCATAAAACTCTCAGACTTGAGACCAGACACAGGCTGTAGTAGCTAGAATTTCAACTACTTCAAATGCTGCACAGTCCTGGATGAACAGAGTCTAATTCTACCAATGAAGTCAGAGATTAGGGCTGGGAACCTTGCTTATAAACTGAGATGGGAAATATGCTTACCCTCATTGCTGTGGCTAAGGCTAAGTGACAGAATGTGGAAAACATATGAGCCCCTAAAACAGGGCTGTTATTCACATAAGGTTCTGGGTTGCTGAGTAATATCACAATAAAACAGCTGAACAAGAAGGCAGGAACAAAGAAAAACAATAGTAAAGAATAAAGGTAGTGGAGAAAGAGAACAAATCTCATTGAAAAAGAGCTTGCAAAATTTCCTGTTTCTGGACCACTATGTAAGGAGCTTGGAAGTTGTTACTCTCATCCACTCAGCAAGAAAATATATGAACTGAAAATCAACAACTCTTCTTATACCCCTGAGAAAATTGAGGTCAGGGTACAAACCACTGGGCAGGAATTGGTGAGACAAGCAGATATAGAGAATTACAACTTTCAAGACCAGAATCCCCAAAACACAAACTTCTATAGGAATCAGTACTGGAGTGGAGACAGCTAGACTGTAATGGATGAACTGCTAGAGGGTCAGGGTGAACACACTTGAGAGCTGAAAACTCCAGACAGTCCCATCTTAGGGAGGCCCGCATTCTGTTTTACCTCCAGGAGCCCTACCGGATTCTCACAGTAAGAGTTAGAGAAGAATCCCTCTTTGCCTACAGCTAGGGGAATAGATGGTTGGATGGCACCACTGACTCAATGGACATGAGTTTGAGCAAGCTCCAGGAGATGGTGAAGGACAGGGAAGCCTGGCGTGCTGCAGTCCATGGGGTTGCAAACAGTCAGACGTGACTGAAGCAGTGAGCACAGCACAGAGGAAAAGGAAAGCAGCCATTTTGAAATATACCTGGCCTCTCCTGTTATTCTCAACAAGGCTTTCACTCAAAACAAACTATTTACCACCACCACATAACTGACTGCAGTTGAGATCAGGGAGAACTGCAATATCAAATCCATCAGGTTCTAACCTTCCACATGAAGTGAGGAAAATATCCAGACCCAGTCCCCTCTGGCATTCCTGTCTCACCTGATGTAAGGGAGAAGGATTTGTGAAGGTTTTAGAGCCAAGGTACCATTTCTCTCAAAGACTGAGATTGACTCATGGGACTGTAGTATGCTTCCCTTCCTCTCACAAGTTATCACCACGTCAAAAGTGGTCTTGTAAAATAGCAAGGGCATGTTATCAAAAGAACAGCAGGCCTCAGATCTTATTTCAGAAGACCTCTCTAGGGAAACCCAAAGAGAACAGAGGAACAAAAACATCAGATGCAATTTTCATCTTAGACATTAAAAGCTATTGCCATCAGTAAACAGAGCCTTATCTATAGCTGAAAAAATCTATAAACTCATATTAAACACCTATTTATCTTAACTCCAATATGCCTGGCTTTCACAAAAAAAATTACAAGGCATACTAAAAAGCAAAAAATATATAGTTTGAAGAGAAAGAAAAAGCATCAGAACTAGGCCCATAAAATGGCAGGGATGTTATAAAACTGAATTTTTTTTAAAATTAGGATTAATAAGTTAAGAGTTCTGATTGAAAAAGTAGAAAACATGCAAAAAATATCATATAGGCAGAGAGTTTAGAATGTTAGGAATAAAAACACTCGAATAGAAATGAAGAATGCCTTCAAAGAACACATTAATAGACTGACTCAACTGAGGAATGAATCTGAGCTTAAGAAAATGTCAATAGGAACTTCCAAAACTGAAAAGCAAACAGTGGAAAATAAAGGAGCAATTCTATAATTCTATCTAAGAACTCTGGGAAAACTACAAAAGATGCAACATATGCATAATGGGAGTATGAGAAGAAGAGAGACAGGAAGAAAATGAATACTTAAAGTAACAATGACTGAGAATTTTCCCCCAAATCAATGTCAGACAGACACCAAAGTGCAGATCCTAGAAGCTCAGAAAACACCAAGTAGGATAAATGTCTAAGAAACTACACCTAAACAAATGATTATATTAAAAACTGCAGACAATCAAAAACAAGCAAAAATCTTGAAATACTCCAGACTTGCTTTGTAAGAAATGCTAGAAGGCATTCTTCAAAGAGAAGGAAAATGACACAGGTCAGAAACTCTGATCTACATAAAGAAAGGAATAGTATTAGAGAAGGAATAAATGAATGTAAAACAAAACATTTTATTTTCAGCTTGCTTAGTTGATCAAAGAATAAGTTTGTTCACAACAGGAATAGTTTTAATGTATTTGCTAATTAAGTGAAATGAATGACATCAATAATATGAGAGAATTGAGGGAAGAATTAGGAGTATTTGATTATAATAAGGTCCTTGCACTACCCATGAAAAGTATAGAGTTATTTGAAAATAGTTTTAGATTAGTTGTAAATGCATTTTTATGATTCTATAGCAAAAACTGAAAAAAGTAAAAATGGAAGTATAATTGATATGATTTTCATTGGCTACCTTCATCATCACTGCTCTGATCTTGCTGAGGTGTATACTCTAACACAGGAATTTCTCTTGCTTTTGTGCGCATCCAGGAAGTTTGCCCAGCAGTTGCTTCTGATACCCAGTCACACATGTCAAATGCAAATCCACAGGCTTGACACGCTGAAGAGAAGAGAAAAAGATGGTAGACTATCACAGTCTACTGGAGTGGCTGCTTAACAAAGGTTATAGGTGCAATCAAGGCTAAACACACACACACACACACAAATACAGTAATTCAAACCAATAAGCCTTAGAGTGAACTCTTCTTTTTAAAAGTTCTTAATTTGATCCAGACAGGCATCCTCCCAAATGAGAACCATTACCACGCTTCCATTGTGGTTTTTTTTTTCTTCTCTTATATAACATAATACCAGACTCTACCTACTTTATGGAATTCAGTTAGCTTAAATCATTTACTATTCATAATCACATTAAAATTTTAAAGAAGATACATTGTATTTAATTCCATGATTTTTAGAGCAACTGTTTTTCAAAACATTACCTTGATATATTTACTATCTTTCACTTTTTTTAATAAGCCATACACTTCCAATTACAATCCAGCTAAAACCCCAATGATACTCCTGGTAAAACAAGGACAGAGATGAGAACAGAGCTTGTCAAGTGAGTACCCCTACTAGTGGTTTGATATTTCTGTTGGGGTCTGAGTCTCATGGATGGCAGGCAGGCATCTCATTTTTACACTTACACCTCAATCCTTCATCTGTAGAATCAAATCTGCAGAGACTTCTATCTGGATAGCACAGTTCCTTCTTGGTATTTGATGCCTCTTGACATGGCAAAATGTCATCTGTTAAATGTAAAGATTGGCAAAAAGTGAGATGTGGTTATCAGTAGAAAGGATCATGAATTTCTCAAAAGGTTAACCTTTGTTCTACAGAGAGTGCTGAAGCCAACTCTTCTCTTTGGCAGCATCACACCACTATATAGACAGAGAAAGAGATTCAGGAAGAGATGAGAAGAGAGAATAAAATCACCATGCCTGTACTTCTAGATTTTAATCAGATCTCTGTGGTGATTTCTAAGACCCCAAGCCAAACCAGCTAGGTCTCTAGTGAAGTAGGTTACATGCCTTAATGTGTAAACAAAGAGCCTGTCATTAGGCTGATAACTCTACAAGTATCAAATACAACATATGGTACCCTCTTTACCTGGGTCTGCCCTGGATTTACTTTCCCTGCAGCTCTTTCAAATGGAGTCTATTTCCGCCCACTCCCTCCACCCCATAGTCCTCCCAACACAAAACTTGAACATGGTGGAATTATCCTTTTATCCCCTGCTTCCACAGATAATTCTCACTCAGCACAAAAAGAGGCAAGAATATACAGTGAAGAAAATATAGACTTTTCAATAAGTAGTATTGGGAAAGCTAGACAGTTACATGTTAAAGAATGAAATTAGAACATTCTCTAATATCATAGATAAAAATAAACTAAAAATAGATTAAAGACCTGAATGTAAGACCAAATACAATAAAACTCCTAGAGGAAACATAGGCAGAACACTCTTTGACATAAATCACAGCAATGATCCATCTCCTAAAGTAAAGAAAGTAAAAGCAAAAATAAACAAATGGGACCTAATTAAACTTTTAATTAATTAAGCATTTGTACAGCAAAAGAGACCATGGGAATGGGAAAAAAAAAATTTGCAAACGATTACTGATAAGGGGTTAATGTCCAAAATATATAAACAGCAACACAACTCAATGTCAAAAAAACCAAACAATCAATCAAATGACCAGGTTAAAAAATGGGCAAAAGAAATGAATAGACACTTTTTTCAAAGGGGAAATGCAGATGGCCAACAGGTCATGAAAAGATGCTCAACATCACTAATCATCAGGGAAATGCAAATCAAAACCACAATTAGATATCACCATACACTAGTCAGAATGACTGCCATCAGAAAGAACACAGATAACAAATGTTGGCAAGGATGTGGTGAGAAGAGAACCCTCGTACACTTTTGGTGGGAATGGAAACTGATGCAGCCACTGTGTAAAGCAGTATGGAGATTTCTCACCTTCCTACATATTTGACTTTTGAATCTTTTGACATCAAATGATATCCCTCTCTGCCTGTGCCAGCTTGTCACCATCATCTATGGACACTGGTGTACCACCAGAACATGTTAAAGCTAAATCAAGTAGTGAGTCAGATCCTGTTTCCTCTGCTCAAGAACATCACATGGGCTTCTGTCCTACAAGAAGTAGACGCAAAATTCCTTTGCACGATCCTCACACAAACCAGGCTTACTTTTGCCTCGGGACTTCTACATTTACACATGGCTTCCTTCCAATATACACATGGCTAGTTCCTTCAACTTCTTTTCTGAGCCAAAAAATACACACACACACACACACACACACACACACACACACATTCTCCATGTGACCGTGTATGATCTACTTAAAACTTTAAAACTCTACTTAGAACTTCATTTCCCTCTTACCTGGGCATTCTCTTCTCAATTTTCTGCTGTTTTATTGTATCCATAGCACATGTCATCACTTAACATAAAATACCTTTTTCTATTTACTTGCTTAATTTCATTCACTGATTAAAATATAAATTCCATGAACTCAGGGATTACTTTTTTTTTAACTGTTTCTCCCATGCATCTAGAAAAATTCTTGATGTAACATAGATGTTCAATACATACTTGTTTAATGAATGGATAAATGAATGACCTAAGACCTATTCAATGAAATGTTTTAAAATAGTGCAGACTCTATCTAAATTGTTTATATTTTTATTGGAAATAAAATTGGACCAATTGGTTATGAAAATGATTTATGCATAACATCCTTAATCTGGTTTCTCATAATGGAAGCTAACAAATGATGAATATGCAAAGCTTATTGAACGTAGGATTCAAGGAAAATAAAACTGTATATGCAATTAAGGGAGTGTGGGCAATAAATGAAGCAAAGATTACACAATAACAATTACCGTGAAACAATTAAAACAGTAATTTTTGTAGATTCATATAAGAGCTACAAATCTTCTACCCCAGAGGTGCATAATTAAATATTTGCCATAGTTCAATTAGATGTTGTATATAATCTCTAATTTTTCATTATTTGTACAAAACAATACCCACAAAAGTGCTATAAACAAAAATAGCAAAACAGTCAAGTATAAATTGCACGGAATTAAAAAAAATTTTTTTGATGTGGATCACATTTAAAGTCTTTGTTGAATTTGTTACAACATTGTTTCTGTTGTTTCTATTTTGGTTTTTTTGGCCACGAGGCAGGTGGGCTCTTAGCTCCCGACCAGGGATCAAACATGTGCCCCATAGAGGAGAAGGCAAAGTCTCAACCACTGGACCACCAGAGAATTCTCATGCATGGAATTTAAAATGCAGCTTGTATCAGTTGGTATTAAGTATCTTTCACCAATGTTCGCCACTTTTACTACCTTTAGTCCCCCAAATGGAATTCAGTTCAGTTCAGTTCAGTTCAGTTCAGTAGCTCCGGTCGTGTCCGACTCTTTGCGACCCCATGAACCGCAGCACACCAGGCCTCCCTGTCCATCACCAACTCCGGGAGTTTACCCAAACCCATGTCCATCGAGTCGGTGATGCCATCCAACCATCTCATCCTCTGTCATCCCCTTCTCCTCCTGCCCTCAATCTTTCCCAGCATCAGGGTCTTTTCAAATGACTCAGCTGTTCACATCAGGTGGCCGAAGGATTGGAGTTTCAGCTTCAACATCAGTCCTTCCAATGAACACCCAGGACTGATCTCCTTTAAGATGGACTGGTTGGATATCCTTCAGTCCAAGGGGCTCTCAAGAGTCTTCTCCAACGCCACAATTCAAAAGTATCAGTTCTTCCGCACTCAGCTTTCTTTTTAGTCCAACTCTCACATCCATACATGACCACTGGAAAAACCATAGCCTTGACTAGACTGACCTTTGTTGGCAAAGTAATGTCTCTGCTTTTTAATATGCTTTTTAACTTTCCTTTCAAGGAGTAAGCGTCTTTTAATTTCATGGCTGCAGTCACCATCTGCAGTGATTTTGGAGTCCAGAAACCAAATGGAATTGGCAACCACAAAAACAATGGCATGGGGGAGGGGAGCAATAAATTGTCAATCAATTAATTTCCTAAACAGCTTTTTGTTTTAGTATATTCTATTTCAGAGCTCAAAACTATTTAAAGATGTCATATATATTTATATTCATATTCAATTTTCTCCCTCTCCATCTTCTCTCCCTTTAATTCTTATATTGCACCACAATCCAGCTACAGAAAATTATCTTTGACATTTTAAAATTCTCCATCAATGATGTACAATCAGCAGGATGAAGCTTTGTCAACAATTTCAAAGTCTCTATACCAATGAAGCCACATGTGCAAAGCCTGCCATCCTTCAAATCTTATCTTGTGCAAACAGGTTATATGAAATTGACCAGACTCCCTCAGATGGTAGAGAATGAAGTCCAAGCCTCAAGGCTACTGCTGCAAAAGTTATAATTGACATCTACTTTTGACTCCAGGGGTTTTTGACAATTTCTTTATCAGTTTTCTTAAATCAGTAATGAATTTCAATGAATAGTCATTAGATCTTAAAAGGTAGCTAGACATTAATAAGATAAAAAGGTAACTAGTCAAATAATGCTTATTTAACTGGATAATATATAAGCATTATTCAGGTTTTCATCAAGAGATAACTTGTGTACTTGGAATGTTTATAAATGAGACTAAAGCAAAATCCTGGCAAACCAACCTAAAAATATTTACAGAATATTCACGATATTCTGATTGTGAGCTATATCATGCAATCTTTATAAAAATACATAGTGAGTAATTTGTTCAAGAATCAATGTTATTTAAGAATCAGTGATTAAGCATATTCTTATTTAGTCACAAACACCGATCTTTTTTAGTTACAAACACTGATCTTTTTTCATATTTGCTATTTTGGTAAAGCCTAAACAGATCTTCCTTCTAATAAACACACAGTGAATACCCCTGTCTTGGGAAGGGCAGTGGTTAGATACTTACTATCTGAAAGCATGGAAGTAATCTAAAATATTTCTTTAATGTTATAAAAGGAATTTAGTTTTATTGTCCAACTTGAAAACCTT